TGACTGACAGGGAATGAGCTGAGAGTTTTTCTAATACACTGTGGAGCACTAAAAATGCTCCATTTGCTCAGTCAATAATGGACAAGGCAATGAGGAAGATCAAAGAAAGATTTATGGAAAGCCTCTGAAGGCAGGAAAGGGACTGAAGGACAGGGAAAAAAGCAAACATTTCCCCCAAATTTAGAGAACTCAGTAGTTTGGCAGATCAGGTGAACACTGGGCAACGTATTGCCTTAAAACCACTCATATTTAGAGATGCAGATGTATATGTTATCACAATGTGGGAGGCAGAATTCTAAAAATGTCTCCCCAAGAATCTTGTGTCCTAGTTACTCAAACACTACAGTACAACTCAAACACTAATCTGAGTAAAAGAATAGGTAGCCAGTTGACAATAAAAAAGATTATCTTGGATTATCCTGTTGGTCCAAAGCAGTCACAGGAGCCTGTAAAACCAGAAGAGGAAGGCAAAAGTGCCAGTCAAGATTCTGCATAGAAGAAGTAGGTAGGTATGAGTAGGCAGTAACAGAATCAGAGAGATTCAAAAGATAAGAAGGACTTGTCCCACAATCCCTGGCGTTGAAGGAGGAAGCCCAGGGTGACAGGTCTAGGAATGCTGAAATGCCTCTAAGATAAGAAGGACCTCTTACTAAAAGCAAAGAAATTGAGACAGAGGTCCCACAACCCTGGAACTCAATTCTACCAGCAACCCGAATGAATTTGAAAGCCAATTTGTTTTCTCCCAGAACTTTCCAGTGGGGCCTAGTATTGGTCCTAGGAAACCAAGAACAGGGAAACCAATTGGGCCCATCTGAACTTCTGACCTGTGGAATTGTAGATGATAATTTAAGCTCTTAATTCTGTGATAATTTATTACACTAGCAATAAGCAACTAAGATATTCATGGAGACTAGATGATGAGCTCCCATTCTCCTCATGGTCATCCTTAGTCTACATCACAAACCAGTTTGTTTGGTCTACCTAGTGCAACAGGTGCTTCACACTCAGGTGTGTCTGCTTCTGAGGCTGTAGGTCTGAGCCATTTGATGTCCCACACATTCGTTCCCCCACACGCTCACTCCTCTGTCATGACTAGCTTTGTCCTGAGTCCATACTCCAGCGTAGATTCCATCCTGGGTCCTCTGCCTTCATTCCTTCCCATTGCTCCGCCCAAACCTTTCCAGCAGACTCTACCTACTTCACTGTTCAGTCTTCTCTGCCTTGAGAAGAACTCCTGTCCAACCACAGTCCATCCTGCCTTTATTTGTTGTTTGGTGGATACAGGAAAAGAAGCAGTATGATGTAATTTTCATTTGATAAATAAAATCAAATGAAAGGAAGGGAAAAGGCTGTGCATACCACTGTATAAAAGCAACAGAAATAGGTAGTAACAAGCAGCATAAAACATTTTAATGCTAGTTATCCTAAGCTCTTTTACAATAAGACAAAATAAATGGTACAATTTTAAAAGACACTAAAATGAGAAACAAATATGGAGGGATAGGGAAAAAAGAGCAGAAGTGAGAAAACACAAAGGCCTGGATTGTTTTTTAGTTTTATTTCCTTTTTCTAAACACAGTGTCAGTGATCCAAGTTAGAATTGACTAGTCTCTGGTTCGCATTCTACTCTTTTCTAGGTAAACAATTTAACTTCCTTAACCTCAGTTTCTCCCTTCTTTTAAATGGGACAGCAATATTATCTTGCCGAGTTATGGTAAAAGTATAATGATACATGTAAAACACCAACTGCAGCTTTTAACATATCAGGTCCTTTAAAACTGGGACCTCTCGTAAGTCATAACAAATTACTTCAATAAGAAACATTTTCAGAAAATCAGTTAAATGACAGGATATTAATCTTTGTCACAGGATTCTATTTTTGTTAAGCAAAAATAGCATGTAAAAATGGCTGAAAAACAAACAAGTGTTATATAAACAACAAAAAGTTGTCATGTCCATATCAAAGCACGCATTTTTAAGGCTTATGAAAGTTGCTTCAGTGAGCACATGATTTCCAGCTGTACCATCTGCCATCTGTCAAAGGACACAGGTGGCAACCTCTGGTCTCCCTGAGCTGCACATACTTATCCTGTGTGACCATGCAGCTTTCTGACTTTAAAAATAAGCATTTCTTTTGTCTTAGCACACCATTAAGTTGCCCACTTCATACTCCACTCCCTGAGCTCTGTCTTGCAGATTGATCTGTAACACTGACGGAAAAACAAAAGAGCTTCTCCCAAAGTAGGGCCATAACAAGTGCCAGAGGAGAATAAAGGGGTGCTGATTAAGAACAGTGGGAAGATTCCTGGGCATGTCCCACCCCTACATGTAAGGCTCAGTAGCTAGAGTAGATTTTAGACACTGGTTAAGCCAGAAGTGACAATTACTTTGGAAATTTGAATCAGTGAGGTTAAGAATGAAACCAGAACCATCACCAAGAAGAGACAGGGCAGAGTTTAGATTAAAGCCAAACTCATGAAGCCAGGATTCGGTTTCAGTTCTACTTCTTGGCATTAGCTTGGGCAGCAGCTTTTATTCCTCGCTTGGCAATAAAAGTGGCAATACTTATTTGACTATGAGGCAATTATTTTGTGCCAGGCACTAGTGAGATTAAGAAAGTAAACAAGCTAGACTGTTTTCTCAAAATGCTTTCAAGTAAAGTAAATTTAAAGTTCATTCTGTGTCTTATGACAATTCTGACCGTATTTTCTTCAGCGAGAATCACACATTTTCTTGCTTCCTGTGGGGTGTTGATTCCATTACTGCATACAGAGGTGTCTGTCACTGCCTTTCTTTTCACTCCTGTCCATTCATCTCCACTCATTCTTCCTGTAAGCTTCTGCCCTATCTCACAAAGAAATGTCCTTAAGGATCTTCTTGAATATATTAAATATTCAGTAATATTTTCCTTTGTGTTCAGTAGTAAACACTTTTAACAGGCCTTTCACTAAGTATTTAGATGACATTTTTCTCTTTGTATGCCATGTTTTTTATTTTCCTGTAAGACTATTAGTTTTTAAAATTCACACTAACTAGAGAGCTATACTACTTCAGTGATTCCCAGCATGATTTACTCTCAGCCTCAATCATGGTACACTTGGATTTGCCCCCTAGGACCTGTGACTAAATGCTGATTACCAGAATGCAATGGTTTTGTTTGTGCAACATTGTAAGACGGTTTCTCCCCAACACTGAACAACTCTCTACGTTCATGAGCTGCCAAGATTCTTCCTGCTCTGCCCAGAAGCAGAGTTTCCTTTGGGAGAGGAGGCTTAAAATGCAAGCCCTCACTGTTCATCCGGACTCTCTCTCACTCATCGGGCTTCTTGGGTGGCAGCTTTTAAGTAGACTAAACTGAAAGGAGCACAGTGAGTGGCTCATGTAGGAGGGGGAGTGGCTCGTGTGGAAGGGGAAATTTGAGGAAGTAAACTCACTAACTGCTTCACAAAAAAACCCCACACATAAAACCTAGCATGAGCAGGAGAAAGAGGGACAGCCAGCCAGTGCGTAGGCTTGAAAGGTCAGATGTTTTTGAGATAAAGATGCCCAAGCTCACTCCAGATGGGAGGCATATTCGGTTCCTATGTCTTATATTATGTTTATCAAACAAGTTGCATCAGTCTTTCGGATCCTGCAAAATCTTCCTAGATTATCTTTGGGAATATCAGTTTTCTTAGCTGAGCAGCATCTTAATTTTCAAAGGTGCAATGAGTTTATGACTTTTTTTTACATCTTCACAGGTATTTTCCTGTAAAGTAAAGGAAGGCTGCATCTGGGTGTACCAGACAGATGATGTCTTTTAAAAAGACCCAAACTGAGACACTGACTGAGCACTTCCTTCAGTTTGGATAGATGTCTATTCTATATTACAAGCTCCACACTGTGCAATGATGATGCACACACAGACACTCACACATATACAGCATGAACCTGTCATTTTCACATGAACTTGGAACACATATCTTTTGCCTTTGTATTCTCTGCACATATAGGTGCTCAGTACATCGTAGAACGGGTGCGTGTAAGGTAAGAGGCCAGTCAGTGGAGATGAAAGTGCAGAAGTGGAAGGGTGTGGTGCTGCGGGAGCAGAAGGAATACAGGGAAGTCCTGAGGTTCTCTAATAAAGCATTTTCTTTTTTATTTCTAAGACACAACACTAACTGCAACCTGTCATACATTAGACAAAGGAACAAGGAACTCAGTCATGGACATTCACATGCAAAGCTTTCTGTCCCTGCTAACAACACTGCATACACTGTGATTCCCTTGGCTCGAAACCCTCTCCCCTGCTTTGCTCAGTCAATGTCCCTCATGTCAGAAGCCTTTCTTGACCACCAAGACTCCACTCTGCAATCTTCTTGGGTGCATCTATGTGGCCTAAACAGCCAGTGACTTCTACAGATTGCCCCACTTTTTCATTGTTTAAAGGGGATGGGGAGAAGAGCTTAATAGAATAGGGAGAAGGGGGATGTGCTGTGACCAACCTGAGTACTAAGGCTGGCTATGACACATTTTGGCAAGATAACTGTATTAATTGCATTTCTTATTTTTATTCAAGTTTAATATGAAACCCTAAAAACAATGGTGCAGATTCTGAGAGCCCTAACTCAGAGCCTCTGGAACTATAGCTGTGGCAAGGGAGACTATGGGCAGTAACATTTACTACGGACTTAGCAGGTGGCCTGGCAAACAAGACTATCAAGGGATGTAAATTCGCAAATTGCATAGGCACAACTTCCAGCTGCCTGAACAAAATAGCAGGAGGACATTGTGCTATGCTGAGCGTGTTCAAGGCTGGCTCAGGCACAATGAGGGCTTTCAGCGGACTTTCCTGGGAGCAGCAAGGGCTTCCCGTGGTGATGCCTCTACAGAGGCCAGTGTGCTAGTTGCCCTGCTATGTTTTATCTTTTCTCTTTTTTTCTCTCTTCATTTTGTTTCTTCCAAACTTTGTAGCCCTTTGGCCTGCCTTCACATTCATGCAAGGACAGGGTGTTACTTACCATGCCCTTTAGAGTCAGATCTGCTAAGGGAGACCGGTTGCCATGGAAATCTGGCCAAACATGTAAATCAACAGTGAGGAAACCCACAGGCTGATCTTTCTTAATCAGATCCAGGTGACTGTTCAAATATGCATATACGCTCTGGCATCTGCAAGAAAAGTGGGTTTTGTTTTTATAAAAGGGTTAGGGTCAGGAGGCAATTGTTCTATAGGGAAAAAAACTGTGCTTCCAATGAGACCTGGGAAAGTAAGCAGCAAAGAAAGTAACCCTAGAGAAGCCAGCCTACTGCACTTCCAGATCATACTCTGTCATTAAATCCTACTGGGAAACAAAAGATCTGGAGTCAGGAGACCACATCTGGGAAAGGCTTTACTCCTGAGAGGTAGTAACTATGAAAAACTTATTCAAACCTTTGAAACTACCCTCTTGTTATCTATAAAAATATATAGCAAAATACCTCAGTTATGAAGATCAAAGAAGATTGTGTAAGATGCGACATTCTAGGAACTGCATAGAGTACAGCACAAATTAAATTTTTAACTAACATCCATCTTCCTCATGTAATGATGACAAATGGAAACAAATATATGATTCTGAATTCAAATAGGAACTTGGTAAAGTGACTGGATGTCATGAATGCAGCTTGAATGAGGAGTTAAGAGACTTGATTTCTATCCCTAACACATGCCACGACATTATATAAGTTGTTTCTCCTTTTTAAACCTTAGTTTCTTCACGTGAAGAATGTAGGAACTAGATTAGCTCCCTCACTCTTCCTGTGAGAGGAAGACAGAAGATGATGGGCTTAGGAGTCAGGACAGTGCCACATCCAGATCTTGGACCTGCTTATCCTGCAGGGTCATACATTAACCTCTCAGAATCCAACTGGCCCATTCATAAAATTATTGTAATGATAATTAGCTGGTTGGGTTAAATCTTACTACCTGGCACACAAAGTGAAGTTGGTTAGCTTTGTCGTTTCTAAAGGTGATGCCTTCCAAAGCTCTCAATTAAGGAGCTAAAAGAAAATGGGAATATCAGCAGTCAGCCACTTCAGAATAGCATCACTGCTCTTAAAGTTACTGAAAAAAAAATAAAAAAAGTGCATGTCTATAAATCTTTTCATTATGCTTCTCAGGGAATGTAAGAGTGGGACATTTGGTTTCAGACATCTGAGTCAATAAGAACCCACAGGCCTAATTATTATTGATTTGTCAGTGTGTCATTTATTGTGGGTCCTTTCAAATAGCAAGATTCATTTGGCCTCGAGGTATATGGTCACTTGTGCTCTAATGAGATCCCTGTGGGATGGGACATATGCTTACCCCTTTGACTCCTCATCTCTGCAGCTGTGTGTTTATTTTTTAGAATCTGCCATTCCTCTAAATGTTTTTTCCACCATACCTTACCATGTGTGCTGAATATATCATTCAAAATAAAATGCACTCGGAAGACATAAAATAACTAATGTATATCATCATTCATGTAATTTTAATCTTACATGATACCTTTTTGGTCTGACTTTGTGTCATTTTGATTTTGTATGTTTTATCAATCCCCCCCAAATGGCAGTCTTCCCTCCTTTAAGTGGGGAGTCACATGGTGACTATAATCTCAACTAGATCATTCTCTCCTTCCTCATGAACTCCAGGATCACATATCCTATTTCAGAGGGACACATTCATGCTGTGAAAGTCCTGTTGGTATGAGGAAGACTTTTGGGAGATGGAGAAGAAGATCAAGGAGGATGAGGAGGGGAGAGTAAAAGATCAAAACACGTAAGACATTATGTATCTATATAAATAAATATGTGTGTCTGTATACTAACTCCCCAAAATGAATGGAACTATTATGTATCTCAAATATATACTAATCTAATGCATAAATAAATTCTAAACATTCATAAAGTGACTTCACCATATACCAGCTGGGTAAGTATAGAAAACCTCTCTGAAACTATTTCACTATTTTTCAATTGAGGTTAATACTCTCTACCTTAGAGGGTGCTAAGAAGATTAAACACAGAGCTATGAGATGATTGACAAACAGATCCCTCTCCTTTGCCATTATAGAAAATTTACCTTTAGCTTTAAAAGAACACAAGTCAGGGGAGATTTTTATTCAAAAAGACTATTGTCTGCAATCTTAAATGCAGACAGAATCTCTAAGTTTCCCCTCTATCTCCGTCTCTATAAATAATTTAATTCTTTGAATTTGTAGTCTACCCAGAAGTACTTTTAAATTGAAACCTGAATATGTTTACGACAAAAGACATTTATATCCTTTCTACAGGCAAAAGAAAGTCCTGGAAAAGAGGCTCCCACACTCCATTGCTTATTTCTAAATTCAATGCAATGTGTATTCTGCTGGCTCTATTCTACAGAAACACTCCATTGTAACCCCAGTGGACCACGCTTTGCATTTTATACTACTTGCCTACTTCTTTCTTACTAGCTCCTTTCTTTGTGTCCAGAATTCTACTCTCTTGAATTTTCTACCTCGTGATCAGCTGATCTATTCCTCTGCTTGTCCCTTGTATATCTGAGTTGTTCTAGAGACCTGTTCTACGCCCATTTTACTCTTTATGCTCCCTTTAACGATCCCTCCATTCTCTCATGTCTCCAGTTACCATCTAATGCTGAAGATTTTCCAATATTCATGCATATCTTTAGTTCACTCCCTTCTCTGGAGTTCCAGCATAAGTATCCAAGCATCATCACAGGCTTCTTCATAGATGTTCAAAGGCAACCAAACTGGAATATCTCATATCACATACATCACCTTTTGTGATAGTCTTGCTTCCCTCTCTGTGCTCCTTGGATTAATCAAGGCAAATATCATTTGAGCAGTTGTTTAAATAACCAGAGTAGGGACAGTGTCAGAGAAAGCACCATTTCTGACTTTTCTCCTGTATCCCCAATTTAATCTTGTATCAGGTCTTGATTCCTTCCTCTAAACATTCCTGAAACTATCACACTTTTCTTCAGCTTAGTAAACTGTGCTACTATACTCGAGCCACCTTCCAGTGCCTTGGTTTGAGTCTTGGTCTCTGTGTTGGTCAATTTTCTCATCACTGACACCCACCACTTACAGGAGGAAAAGTTTATTTTGGCTGATTGTTTTAGAGTTTCAGTCCAAAGCTGGCTGACTGGATCCAACACAGAAATGGCACAATAAAAGTGTGTGGCAGAGGAAAACTGTCTACTGAATGGCAGCCAGGAAATAGAGACCAGGAAGAGCTGAGGACAAGAATACAGCCTTTCCGATGATGCCTTAGCGGACCATCCCTCACCAGGCTCCACCATCTCCTAACACAACCAGTGATGAACTCATCAGTGAATCAATTCGCTGGTCAATTCCTAATCAGGAGATCCCATGAGATCTTTGAAGGGCATTTTAGATCTAAACTATAACAGTCTCCAAATATATCTCCCTGCTCGAAATCTTGCCACCACCAAACAGGCTTACTGCACTTCTTTCTAAATGACTTTTCAAGAGATCACTCTGTTTGTGACTCCTGCTCTATCGGAACTCCTACAGTGGCTCCTCCCATATGCCCTTAGGATAAAGGGCAAGCTCCTTTTTATTTTATGTTTTAAATTTATTTTAAAGATAGTAAAATTCAACAAAGCAAGACAGAACACAACCAATCAAGACAGTGCAATGAAACTAGTACAACACTTCAGAGCAGGATAACAATAATAGGTACCACAGTATATCTTACTATCTTCAGAATAGTTGTCCATTCAATCAGCTATAGCAAAATCAAACCAAAAACAGAAAACTATAAAAGCAATCAAAACAGAATACTGAATAGAGCAAAACAACCAGAACAAAGCAAAACAGTGAAAACAGTATTGTCCTTCAAAGACAAGCTAGAAGGGATCCTCCATATTTGCTATATTGCATACTGTCATTTTCCCAAGAGATGCTCAGACCTCTGGCCCCAGGTCAGCATAATCAACCAAACAATACAAGCATTTAGTTGCTTTATGTATCTTAGTTGCTTTATATCAACTCAGGCTGACCTTGAAACCATTCAGCTGCTAAAGGGCAGGGGGCATGGGACCTTTGATTCTCAGCCTGTGTGCTGGTAGCTCACAGAGACACTGACTTATACTCTCCTTCACATGCTCACAGCTTACACCACTTACCAGGAAGGCTGGCTTGTTGCTTTCTTGGTCGGTGCCCCAAGTTCCAACATGGCTGGTTCTCGGGAGATGCTAGCTTGTTCTCCGCCTGGCACGTGTGCAGCTCACTTGTGTCATTTACCAGAAGGATGGCTCATTGCTTTCTTGCTCAGTCCCCCAAGTTCTTGGGGTACACTGACTTGTTCTCCCAAAGGGCAAGGTTCTACAAGACATTCTCAGCTAGCTTATGCTGTTCTGCTGGAATATTCTCTACCTCCCTCTCCTTACCCCTACACCTTCTCTGCTGTCACCATGAAAATCTAGTTTGTATTCTCGTATACACACATGTGACCTCTGAATGTTCACCCATTCTGCTCCCTTTATGTGGGTCCTCTTCCTTGCACAATTTACCTACCCTGTGTCATTCGCCAGTCTAGACTCAGGCCTCTCTGATGCTGAACTTCGCTGGCTTCCCTGAACACAGCCCTCTCAACTCCATTACTTGTCTCTCCAGTGAGGTCTCATGGAAGGAAGCGGGTGATCCTGGCACTACTGAGCACCTTCACAGGGAACTGCTACCTGTCCTCATTCCCTTTGCCTATGACCTGACAGTCTGTGAGTAGGAGACTACTGAAATGACACAGAGCACACCGTGCACCTGTTGGAAATGCAGTAATAGCTAAATGGCTTCTCTGCATAGATGATCCGGACCCCGCCCTGTCTCCAGGCTCATGTAACCTAACAGCCTGGGCCTCATATTCATTCCTCGGCCTTCTTTGCACATTCACAGCTGCCATTTCCTCATCAAGAGCGGGCCTTCTTTCCACTCTCCACATGGTTATACCCCTTACCCCCCGGATCTTAACGGCATAATGTCAGGGGATGCTTTTTAGGTATTGAGTCAGGGGAGCCCTCACCAGTGGAAAGTCATTTAAAATCCGGGGGGTAAGGAACACTGTAATAGTATCGGAGATCTGGCATATAGGAGATGAGTATATTGTAAGAAATTGATCCTTAT